GGGGAAACTCTGCACATACACTTTTTAACCGGCTGGAATTATTTTTTAAATTTTTTAGAAAAAAAAGAATAATTCCAACCGGCAAAAAGTGTATGTGCAGAGTTCCTCTATTCTGCAGATACCTCTAAGTGTATCTGCAGATACACTAGGAACTCTGCACATACACTTTTTGCCGGCTTGGAATTATCGATTCGCGCACCCGAAGTAGGCAAAATTTCGGATTCGACGCGAATCGAATATTTCCTGAAATTCGACTCGAATTCCCGGTTCGCCTGGTTCGATTCGCTCATCTCTACCCAAGAAGACTACAAGAGGGCTTTTAATAGCAAGCGAAGAGGGGACCTGGTGTTGCAGCCCAGAGAGAAGGTTTGGCTGGCTACGTCAAACTTGAAGATGCTCTGCCCGTCAAAAAAGTTGGGACCTAAATTTATAGGCCCTTTTTGCATCAAACGGATGGTCAATGAAGTGGCCTATGAACTTGTTCTCCCTGAGACACTCAAGATCCACCCTGTCTTCCACGTGTCCCTGTTGAAACCAGTAGTCCCTGATGCCTTCCCGGAACGGGAATCCAGGCCCCCGGAGGCCGTAACGGTTGAAGAGGAAGAAGAATTCGAGCTGGAGGCAATCCTGAAGTGCCGACGAAGGGGGGGCCAGACCCAATTTCTCATCAAGTGGAAGGGCTACGGCCCTGAGGACAATTCGTGGGAACCAGCCCATAATGTCCATGCACCTAGACTTGTCCGGAGGTTTCTTTGTGATCACCCGTGGTGGAGAGATCGGGTGGGCATCCGGAGGTTGCCCGTAGGGAGGGGGCAATGTCAGGGATCTCCTCGATCCCTGCCGCGATGGTCCCGGCGCAGGCGCACTGCTCCGCCCTGTACACGGGCACTAGGTCCGGGCCGTCCGCGGCGTTCGAGTTCGCGCATGTGCAGTAGAAGCCGCGGCCGCCCGCTGGGCACCAATGGCAGCGCAGGGCGGGATATTTAAAGGTCCCTGAGCTGTCATTTCGTTGCCTTCTGGTCTTACCTGCTTCCTGTGATTCTGTACCTGTGCCTAGTAAGTTTATTGACCCGGATTGTTTCTTGACCTGCTGATTTCTCCTGCCCAGACCCTTGCTTGCCTGACCTCTCTCCCTGGATGCCCCTCATTAGATCTGACCTCCTGTTGCTGACCTGGCGTGTGACCCGACGATTCTCTGCCTGCTCCCTTGTACCCTACCGTCCTCTACGTTACCGACTCGGCCTGTCTGACTACGCACTTGCTCAGCCATCCATCCATCCATTCCATCGGGGTCACCCGACCTCCTCACATCTGGCTCTCCCTGGTTGGAGCCCCTGGCGAACACCCCTACCACTGACAGGTGTGCTCAGTAGAGGCGACCTGGTCTCGGGGTACTACAAGTCCATCCCCACCATCAGGGGCCCTGGTGAACAAGTACCCTGGGGCTTAGACTCCGCGCTCTGGGCACGCCTGACCAGTGGAGTGCTAGTGGTGCCGCTCGGCGGTCCCTCACAGGTATATTCCAGTGATGGAGTATAAATGACTTCAATCCAAATGGGTATATTCCAGCATCCTAACATGAAGGTGTAGAAAAATTGCCCACTCACCGGAAGTGCAATTTAATGTGCACATAGAAATTCCATGAAGCCGGAGGTCCCATGAAGGTATAGCCTGATGATAAAGGTGCCCTCTGGTGGTGGATAGGGTGACGGCTGACAGAGAAGTTGATCTGGACCAATTTCCCAAATTGTCCTGCCTGGGTGGACTCCTAGAATGCTGGGCTGAGATGTGGAAGCTCAGTGCCAGGTAGTAGAGATGAGAACGCTCATAGTGTAGTATTATAAAAAAGTATTTATTGAGTATATATCATTAAGATAAAACAGTAAACGTACAGGGTTAGAGTACCTATACAGGTATAGTGTAAATGAGCTCTTTAAATACACTGACCAGTGAATATAAGTGATGGCCACCGGACCTCCTGATGTAGAGGCTCTGCACGCCTTGACGTTACGCCACCGGAAAACTATTGACAGCATCCACCCCCTCCCCCCCCAAAAAAAAAGCATTGTAAAAAAAAAAACAATTAATTGTAAAAAAAATGATAAAAATATTCAATTGTAAGTATAAGTAAAATAAAAAACTACTGACACCACCCACTGCTCTACTGACACTGTCCACTTCCCACCTGACACCATCCACTGCCCCCCCCCCCCCTTCCCCTAGAAGCACTGTGAAAAAAGTATTCAAATAATAAATGAAAAAAAATATAAAACAAAATATATAAAAATAATAGAAAATAAAATAATAAAAACAAAAAACAACTGCCACCGTCCACTGCCCTACTGACACCATCCACTGCCCCTTACCCCAAAGCATTGTGAAAAAAATAATAAAAAATAAATTGAAAAAATAATTAAAAAGTGACTCCATCTACTGCCCTACAGACACTGTCCACTGCCCTACAGACACTGTCCACTGCCACCCCAAAATCATTGTGAAAAAAAAAAAATACAAAAATAAATTTAAAAAAATAAAAAAATACAATTAAAAAAATTCTGACACTATCCATTGTTCTATTGACACCATCCACTGGCCCCCCAAAAGCATTTTGAAAAAATGAAAAAAAATAATAAAAATTTAAATTGTGAAAAAAAAAAAAACATTGTAAAAAAATTAAATAAATAAAGAGCTACTGACACTGTCCACTGCCCTACTGACACCATGCTGCACATACTACCCACTGCCATACTCTCCGCACTCCTCTCCTGCATATGCTACCCACCACCATACACTCCACACCCCTCTCCTGCACATACTACCCACCGCCATACACTCCACACTGTACATTCCCGATTTAACATTACCACATTCTGCACTATGTAAGCCAACTTAGATTCTATTTAATCACACCCCCTTTAAGCCACGCCCAATATTTAGCACACTTTAAACCACGCCCACTTTTTGCCACAGCACTCTGCATTTTTACCACTGCCTTGGGCCCACTTTTGATCTTGCACACGGGCCCACTGATTTCATGATATGCTTCTAAATGGTTACCTGCGTTTAGGGACAGGTGTCTATTCCTGGATGCATCTGTGTGCATCCAGGGTAGGACATCTGTCCCTAACCATAGGTAACTCACTGCTCAATGTGCAGATACACTATATATTGCCAAAGTTAGATATTACCAATTTAGATGTAAATAGTGCTTAGTAGATTCCTTAACATTGGTATGCTTTTAGCTTACTGATAATGTTAATTGTACATCCAAAGATATTGATGAGTGTAGCTCCTCCATCTACCTGTGCCAGCATCAAAGTGTGAAGGAGCCTGGATGGTTTTCCTGCATTTGTCCAGAGGGATACAATTTGCTGGGCATCCGCCTCTGCTGTCAGGGTAAGATCACACAATAATGTTACTGAACTGAAAGACTAGAGCATATTGTCTGCATATTAAATGGATAATCTATTCACATAATGTATCTTTGTTTTTTTATCACATACGTTGTACTTGATTATGTAGGTAGTTGCACTCAAGCTACATTATATTGCCAAAAGTATTGGGACACCTCTCTAAATCATTGGATTCAGGTGTTCCAATCACTTCCATGGCCACAGGTGTATAAAATCAAGCACCTAGGCATGCAGACTGCTTCCACAAACATTTGAATGGGTCGCTCTCAGGAGCTCAGTGACTCCAAGCGTGGTACCATGATAGGTTGCCATCTGTGCAATAAGTCCACCCATGACATTTCCTTGCTACTAAATATTCCGCAGTCAACTAATAGTGGTGTTATAACAAATTGGAAGCAAGTGGGAACAACTGCAACTCAGCCACTAAGTGGTAGACCATGTAAAATAACAGAGCGGGGCAGTGCATGCTGAAGTGCACAGTGTGCAGAAGTCGCCAACTGTCTGCAGAGTCAATAGCTAAAGACCTCCAAACTTGGTGTGGCCTTCAGATTAGCACAACAACAGCATAGAGAGCTTCATGGAATGGGTTTCCATGGCCGAGCAGCTGCATCCAAGCCTTACATCACCAAGTGCAATGCAAATCATCGGAAGCAGTGGTGTAAACTACGCCGCCACTGGACTCTAGAGAAGTAGAGTCATGTTCTCTGGAGTGACCAACACTTCTCTGTCTGGCAATCCAATGGATGTGCCTGGGTTTGGCAGTTGCCAGGATACTGGTACTTGCCTGACTGCATTGTGCCAAGTGTAAAGTTTGGTGGGGGGGGGTTCATGGTGTGCGGATGTTTTCAGGGGTTGGGCTTGGCCTTAAGGCATCAGCATACCAATACATTTTGGACAATTTTAAGCTCCCAACTTTGTGGGAACAGTTTGTGGATGGCCCTTCCTGTTCCAACATGACTGCGCACCAGTGCACAAAGCAAGGTCCATAAAGGCATGGATGAGTGAGTTTGGGGTGGAGGAACTTGACTGGCCTGCACAGAGTCCTGACCTCAACCTGATAAAACACCTTTGGGATGGATTAGAGTGGAGACTGAGCCAGGCCTTCTCGTCCAACATCAGTGCCTGACCTCACAAATGTGCTTCTGGAAGAATGGTCAAACCTTCCCATATACACACTCCTAAACCTTGTGGACAGCCTTCCCAGAAGAGATGAAGCTGTTATAGCTGCAATGAGTGGGCCAACTCAATATTGAACTCTATGGACTAAGACTGGGATGCCATTAAAGTTCATGTGCGTGTAAAGGCAGGTGTCTCAGTACTTTTGCTGATATAGTGTACATACTGTCAGAACTTTGTCAGCCTGTCATTGCTTTGCAGAGGCTTACTGACTGCAGCTTTCTGCAACCACCTGTCAGCCTAGCTGCAGCAATACACTATCTAAATGGCACCACTAGCAGCAATGTATGTAATGTGTATATTACTGGACACAGCTACAGTGTGACTGTGCCCTTGGAGATAGTGACAGTTAATTTGGTTCTAAAGGTATGAGTTTTTTTTACCTTAATGCATTCCCTGCATTAAGGTAAAAAAATTCTTCCATGATCAACTCCCCCCAGCCACACCCCCTTAAAGTGTTACTAAATCCACAACAGTACAATCAGTCTGTATATGCAGTAAGGCATGCTTGTTATACTCACTGTGGAACTTAAGGGGTTAATCCTCTGCATTGTGTAAAAAGGATGTTTGATCCTGTCTTCTCTGATCCTCCCCTTCTTCCACAGGTCCCCAATCCAAATTCTCTGCATTGTGTAAAAAGGATGTTTGATCCTGTCTCCAAATTCTCTGCATTGTGTAAAAAGGATGTTTGATCCTGTCCTCCCCTTCTTCCACAGTCCCCAATCCAAATTATCTGCATTGTGTAAAAAGGATGTTTGAGCCTGTCTTCTCTGATCCTCCCCTTTTTCCACAGTCCCCAATCCATCTGCTGATTAAACAGAGCCCTGGGGGCAAGGTGCACATGCTCAGTTTGGTATGTATTGCTAGAGATTGTTTTTTCTTAGGAGAGTGCATGTGATCAGTATAGGGCCAATCAGCGCTGTCCAGACAGAGGGTCAAAGGTCCTGCAGCCTCATAGGACAATCGGGGGAGAATGAAAACTCCTTCTACAAGCTTTAACCATTGCTCTGGCTGAACGAAACTCTGACATAGCTGACCGCAACTGGGTGAGACCTCAGAGAAGAAAAGAGACTGCTCAATGCACAGGACCTTACCTCAGACGCGCCAGGAACCTTTTTCCTGGGAGGGTATAAGGTGTGATTTTATTGCTTTTAAGGAAAGGAGTGAAATAGAGAATTCACATCAACTCCTATCCCTCTCTGCGGATGTGAACTGGATCAGAGCATGTGTTTGGAAACCCAAAGAGGGTGTCCTGGGCCTGGCAAGAGATTAACATTGCACAAGCTAATCTGTTGTCTGTTGGGAACTGTTGTGTTTTCTTCAAGGGCCCCAAATTTGCTGGCCAATGTTTTCTCCAACAATCATTGACCAGTGGGTTAAAACAGGAACTGTTATAGCTAATTAGCACTGTCCTTATCTATTGCACAAATTAGATCAACCACAGTATATATGCACTGTTATCACTTCCTATTGCCAGATTGTGAACTCTTCTTCCTAAAATTTGGAAGCCAGTCAGGTTCCTGTTTAAGTAAGAAAAGGCTATTATGTAGTTTCTATGTACAGTAGATGGGCTTGATAAAGGTCAAATTGCAAAAGTGAAACTATTGTCAATTATAATTAAAACTTGGCCTGATAGCCACAGATTGAGAAAGTTCAGAAAAGAATATTTAATAACTTTATTATGCCACTAGCCCAATTATCAAATTCTGTTTTACTTTTCATATAAAGGCAAAGTAGAATGGGATGATCTAATAGATCATATACTTTATGCTGATATGTGCATTGTCCTGCCCAGGACCTCCTTGTTCATCAGTATAGACCAGCAATGGGCAAACTACGGCCCGCGGGCCATATACGGCCTGGCAGACCTTTTAATCCGGCCCGCGGAGCGTGATACTGTCAGGGTGGCTGTCAGGATGTGTGTAGGTGGGGCAGCGTGACGAACGTGAGGGGAGCTAGGCTCCTCTCACAGTCCGCCCTGAAGACCGGAATGGCGCTGGAACACTGCGAGAGGAACGCGCGGAGCAAAGGTAAGTAAATTGAATTACTATATGGGGGATGAATTACTATATGGGGGATGAATTACTATAGGGGGGATGAATTACTATATGGGGGATGAATTACTATGGGGGATGAATTACTATGGGGGATGTATTACTATATGGGGGATTAATTACTATGGGGGATGAATTACTATGGGGGATGAATTACTATATGGGGGATAATTACAATGGGGGATGAATTACTATGGGGGATGAATTACTATATGGGGGATGAATTACTATGGGGGATGAATTACTATGGGGGATGAATTACTATATGGGGGATGAATTACTATATGGGGGATGAATTACTATATGGGGGATGAATTACTCTATGGGGGATGAATTACTCTATGGGGGATGAATTACTATATGGGGGATGAATTACTATATGGGGGATGAATTACTATGGGGGATGAATTACTATATGGGGGATGAATTACTATGGGGGATGAATTACTATATGGGGGATGAAAAATTCACACTGTTAGTGGGGCAATGTCGTTGGCCGATTTTCGCGGTTCTTCTCTTTTCTTTTTATCAATTATGCTGGAAAATCTGTAAAAAAAACTGCCATTTTTTGTAAGCATTGGTGGCAGCAACGACCAATTTTTCGTTTATCAGCTGACAATTCGGCCGATAAACGTCCGGTCTATGGCCTGCATAAGGCTTGGTTCACATCTGTGCGGGTGGTGGCACTGTGGGACCCACACAAATACCTGTAGCTGCACCACCCACACAGAGGAATGCGGGACCCGTGGGTGGGTGCCATTAATTTTAATGGCACATTGCCCGCACTGGAAATCACAACCATACTGGCAACTTTGGTTCCCGTGCGGGCTGCGATTTCTAAAGAAGTACAGGGACTTCTTCACTGCATGTCCCAAGGCACGGGAGTCCTTTTAAATAAATGGGCTCTTGTGTCTGCGCAAAACGCGACCTGCACGGCCACACATATATGAACCAGGCCTAAAGGTATACTTGTTACTGCAGGTATTATAGAATCACACCCTTTACATCCGAATACACTGGTGTGACTAGGAACGGACTGACAACTCATGGGGCCCCTGTGTCCTTGCCCAAACTCAAAAAAGCCTATGAAAAAGGTACCAGGGGCATCTCAGGGGGCCCCCTACTGACCTTGGGCCCTGGGGCAGTGCCCGAGTTTCCAAATGGTCAGTCCGCCCCTGGGTGTGACTGTAGTGCAGATTATTTAAAGCATACATTTCTACCTGGTATTAGGTTAAGGAGGATAGTTCATCATGATTATAATTTACTAATCACAATGATTACTACTGCCTGTTGGATGGTCTTTGACAGCAGGTATTCCTCTGTATATGAAGACCATCCAGCAGGCAATGGGGTTCTCTGACACCCCTCTGTACAGCAGATCAGCCAGCAGACCAGTGTGAAACATTTAGAACAGTACAGTATAGTATGACCTCTTTCATATGGGGGGGCCATAAAAATAAGAGGTTGAGCCATAGTTTTACTATCCATCTAAAGTCTAAAACACAGTCAGAGCATGATGTTCACATGCTGTGGCAAGTGTAACGCAGCATGTCTAGTTGACAGGTGGCACTGCTTGTTAATCTCCATTCAAGTCAAAGGGGCTGTGCTACTTTGGTCACAGTTGTGGTGCATTAGCTGCTTCTGAAGGTGGCAGGATTGCCTCCTGAATACTTGACAGTAGCTGCTTAGCTGCACTGTGAAAAGTAGTACAGAATATTTCACTTGTATGCAGTTTATATCCAAAAATAAAACTTAAGGAGCGAGCTAATTTTATCCAACAAGTTTTATGCAGCAGAAGAATTTGTTTCCACTATCCAGTTCCTGCATGATAAGGGCTACATTCACTGGTAAATATTTTATCATTTTTCTCTTTTCCTCACATTCTGTAATTGTATTTGCAATTTATAATTCAAAGCTTCACTGGGGACCTGACCTAGGTTCTTATCCATTACGAAAGACATAAAAAAGGTATAAAGGCAAGGAAGTATATAAAGTGAAAAAAAAAATTCATGTTAACACAAGCATAGAAAGTCGTTTGCTTCAAAATGCACAAAGAATTTTCATAACTGAATGAACGTGTATCTTAATGAACTAGCACCAGCATAAAAACACGTTTTCCTGCCCTATCAACACCTAACCAGAATTATTCAACTACTGTAAATGATCATAAGCATTTTGGAACTAGCAGCATCATAACACGGACTAAGAATTAAATCAGTTATAACACTGCAAAATTTTAACTTGATTTGGATTAAAAGGCAGCAAATTATTCTTTCATCCTTGCTGCTTACTGCTGGTGCCACTGTCTAAGTCTTGGAGAGTCCAGCCTCAGTGGGAAAACACCCCCCCCCCCCCCGTACTCTCTTTCTCCCTCCACCTCTCTCTCCTTTCTCAGTCCCTCTTCTCTCTCCCTTCCCTCTTCCCCTTCCACTCTCCCCTCTTTCTCTCCCTTTTTTCTCCTCCCTCTTTCTCTCCACTCTCTATGGCAGTGGTCCTCAAACTGCGGACCGCGGGCCGGATGTGGCTTTTTGTTTGCCTTTATCCGGCCCTTGGGGCACTATTCCTTCCACTGACACCAATGATGGAACACTATTCCTTCCAACGACACCAATGATGGGTCACTAAATGAATATATAATAAATAAAAAACAAAAAAACGATGTGCGCTATCAAACTAGTGAATAAGGTAAAATAGAGCCGCTGCAATAACACTTAAAAGGTGATCCCACACTTGAAGCATAAAACATACATAAATAGTGTTGCACTAACTCATATAGACATAATAGTCCATAAACAGATTCAAACCTGATAGTTCAATCAAAATATGAAATATAAATATACATATAAAGTGCTTGAATGGTGAAAATCAAATAAGGTGCTTGAATGATGAAGACTCAGTACGATGTGCTCCGAATAAAGTCTATTTGAAAAAAAAAACGGTGCTCCACCTTAGCTCAATGTTCCTCCACCTAAAAATATATATGGATGGCCGCTCACCTCCTACTGTGGACCTATAAATTAATACAGGTCAACCAAGCATGGTAATTCCAAAATAATGCTCTAGATGGCAGCAGAGAGCTGATGACAGGCACCTCTTCAATAACAGTATAAAACGGGACTCTCAGCTTAACTCCACATATAAAAAGAACAGAGGACATCTCCCATAGTGTAATACTGTTTTAATTCCACATAAAATAATTCCACAGTGTCACTCACATGATAGAAGCAGTAAAATAGCGATTTGCAATTCAAAACTCCTGCTCTGTAAAATGATGGGTCACTATTCCTTCAAATGACACCATTGACGGGTCACTATTCCTACGCACTGACACCTGTGATGGGGCACTATTCCTCCCACTGATACCAATGATGGGTCACTATTCCTTCCAACGACACCAATGATTGCACACTATTTCTTCCAATGACACCAGTGATGGGGCACTATTCCTCCCAGTGATAACAATGATGGGGGCACCATTCCTTCCAATGACACCAATGATGAGGCACTATTCCTCCCAGTGATACCAATGATGGGGCACTATTCCTTCCAATGACACTATTGATGGGGCACTATTCCTTCCTCTGACACCAGTGATAGGGCACTATTCCTCCCACTGATACCAATGATGGGGCACTATTCCTCCCAGTGATACCAATGATGGGGCACTATTCTTTCCAATGAAACCATTGATGGGGCACTATTCCTCCCACTGATACCAGTGATGGGGCACTATTCTTTCCACTGACACCAGTGATGGAACACTATTCTTCCCACTGATAAAAATGATGGGGCACTATTCCTCCCAGTGATACCAATGATGGGGCACTATTCCTCCCACTGATACCAATGATGGGGCACTATTCCTCCCACTGATACCAGTGATGGGGCACTATTCTTT